TGACGTAACTGCTTTGGTGGCAGAGGCAGGCTGCTGCTACCGCAGCGGAAACTAACACTTTGCGCATGGTAGACAAGTGCTCTCCCCTAAGCTTCGTTTCTAGTGTCCTAGAACTCTCTTCATACGTCCAGCCTTTGTCCACACAGAAGCTACCTTCTACATAGTTCTAGTTTGCCTTTTCCATTAATTATGAAGCCACGAACTTGATTCCACACATTTCAGAATCCTGTAATGGTTGTACAATATTGCAAGGTGATAATTTATATTTTTTGTTAGGTATACAATTTCTGATATTTTTTTTTTTGAGACAGGATCACATATAGCCCAGTATGACCTCGAACTCACATAGCTGAGGACGGCTTTGAACTACTGATCTTCTTGTCAGCACTTCCTGAGCGCAGGGATTACACCCAGTGTACACCAGCATGCCCAGTTAATGCAGTGCTGGGACTGAACCCAGGGCTTCATACATGCTGAGAAATGTTCTATCAACTAAGCTACATCTCAGCCGGTCTGTTTGTTTTTTGAGATGGGTTCCCCCTAAGTAGTGCAGGCTGATCTCAACTCCTGACCCTTCTGTCTCAACCTCCCGGCACTGGGATTATAGGTGTCTGCCGTCATGCCAGGATGTTGATTCTAATTTTTATTTTCATTAGAGTTGGTGAGTGTGGATTTGATCTATGTGATTATTTATATTATTTCCTTGGGATAATGCCCCAAGAATGGAATTGTAAAGAGGAAGAACAAACATTTTTATGATGCTTGAATCTTATCCCCCATGCGGCTCTCTGAAAAATACTGTATCAATTTGTAGGTATAGATTTCAATACTGACACAGCCCTGTTTGTTGCTAATGCTGATACATACTCAAGACATACTGGTTATTGCATTGGAAGTACTTTTGTGCTTATTTGTGCGGACAAGTTTCTTCTTAGGACCTTAGATTTTTCAGAATTGGAAGACATCTGCTTGTTTTACAAATGAAATGAGATCCAGAGAAATCATGTACATTCTCACACCAGTGGAGTTTGAAAATAACAGTATGTATAGTAAATGTGTGTCTGTGGACTCCAAGTCCTCGGCACTTGCTCCTCTGCCCAGCCGGTGCCGTTTGGTGCGGTTTATTTTCTCTTAAATGCACAGAAGAAAAAAATCACACCTCACACTTATCCTCTGGCCAAATAGCACCCCGAGTCTCTATCATGACATATGCTTGGGCAACAGGAAAAAGTGGGGAAGGCTAAGACCTCTATGACCCCCGACAGCTGAGTCCTCTGCTCCATGATACTACTTCTCAAAGGAGACCCCTTCACTCTTTCTTGGAGTCATTCTTACAGACCGTGGTCTCAGAGTCCTCCTTGGCTCTCAACACTCTGCCCTTCCCCTCGAGCCTCTGCTGAAACTTCTAGTGCTTGGGGAAGCTCTCTGTCTTGGCTTCCATAGGCTAACAGCCCTCTCTCTTCTGCCAGACTTTGGGTGTCTGTCATGTACCGTCGCCTAGCAAAACACCTTGGAGGTTTTCATATAAACTAATGATGACTTAGAATTACCCACAGTTCTGCAGGTTACCCATGTAGCTTCTTTGTCAATTTTGGCCAGAAAACACTCATTTGGTGTAGTATACACTCAACTTGTAATTCTTTGGCGGTTATTGGTGGCTGACATCTGAACCACCCATTTTTTCCCTCTGCCTCTTTATTCTCTTCCTCCTCCTTTCCTTTCCTCCTTCAATTCCCCCCCCTCCTCTTCTTCTTTCGAGACGTGGTCTTTTTAGTTTTTATGTTTTGAGACAGGGTCTCATATAGCTTGGCCAGCTTTAAACTTGTTATGTAGCTGAGGATGACCTTGAATGACTGATCTTCCAAATCCTAAGCCTGGTGCTTGCTAAACAATCTAAGCCAATCTCAGATGCCCAGGGATCCTCCTGATGAGTTCCAAAGGAGAAATGGGAGATGCATGGGAGCTCTGCCAGTCTGCAAAGATGCAGAGCTCCCGTTGCCAGGACCTCCTGCTGTGGAGGCAGGTTGTTCCTGTGTAAGGCCCTGGATATCTCTGGGGTACCCCAGGGCATGGCTTTATTTGATATTGGGGCTTTTGCTTCCATTGTTAAAACATACTTCCTTTCCTTTAAAAACTATTTTTTAAAAGATAGATTCTTTTAGATTTATTTTTATGTGTCTGAGTGTTTTGTCTTCAGGAATGTGTGTGTAGTGTGTGTGTGTCTGGTGTCCTCAGAGGTCAGAAGAGGGAGTCAGATCCCCTGGATCCAGATGGCTGTGGGCCTCCATATGAGTGCTGGGAACTGAACCTGGGTTCTCAACAAAAGAGCAAGTGCTCTTAACCTCTGAGCCCTCTCTCCAGCCCCATATAGTTCCTCTCTAATAGGAACTGGCCTGTGTCTGTAGCCAGGTAGCATTCTCACTGTGCTTTCTGCCTGCAGAAAGTGGGGCACCCAGGGGACCTCTTCATTTTGAATTCTGCTTTTAAAACCCCCTGAAAACATTGTCAGCTGTTCACACCTAGAAAACAGTCTACTTGTCAGCCAGAAGCCAAACCCATCACTGTTTCAGCGATGGTCCTTCTTTAATTCAGGAAGCCTATTGGAAATGATTTTGAGGGTCTCATCATCATCTACCCTAAGCCTCTAAGAGGTCTGAACAAAGGAGGCTTCCAGTCTCAAACTGAATTTGATCTCCACTCTGAAGCCATGCCTCTTTGTGCCTCTTTTTTTGGTGTCAAAAAGCCGGGAAATAAAAAAAAAACACTGATTTTTGCAGCCCAGCACCTTTCAGACCCTGAACGTCTCTTCTAAATCCAGTTTGCAAGCTGAGGAGTTCCTCCTTCCTTCCCAGTTAAAGCTGCTAAAAAGACAATTTACACCTTTAACACGCTGCCCGGAGATCTCCCTAGCGGCAGTCACTGGTTCATTAGGGACGATTCTGTCATCCCGGGTCCCACACAAGACAGTTTCACACACCACTGCTTGCGCTTTAAGTGTCCTCATTACTGGTCCTCTCACTGTGTCACACACCTTCCCAGCCTCCTGGAGCTGTTTCCTGCTACCTCTTCCCTACCCTGCGGCCTCCCTTTGTTAGGTGGCCCAAAGCACCCCTTTCTCCCAGGCCTGATTATATTACCCCCACGGTTTTTTTGACTTAAAGCAAAATGAATAACAACAATTAATAATAAACCGGAACAATTACAGTAATTCATAATCAATGAAAGTTATGAGCCAGGTGGCAGTGGCAGCGGTGGCAGTGGTGGCACACACCTTTAATCCCAGCACTGGGCAGGCAGAGGCAGGTGGATCTCTGTGAGTTCGAGACCAGCCTGGTCTACAGAGCGAGATCCAGGACAGGCACCAAAAATACACAGAGAAACCTTGTCTCAAAAAACAAAACGTTATGTAAATGTGTCCTCTCTCTCCTCTCTCTCCCTCTTCTCCTCCCCACCCCCCTTTCTCCACTCTCTTGCTCTGCCACAAGACAATGTGCACACTGTGGAAATGCTGGACAAATGGGTGATTTGGGTCCCTGGTGGGATGTGGTAAGATGACAATCTATTTCATCACACTATTCAGAATAACAGTTTAAAATTGAGGAATCCGAGAGAGGGCTCAGTGGCTAAGAGCCCATAAGGCTCTTGCAGACAACTTGAGTTTGGTTCCCAGAACTTTCACTAGGTGGCTCACAACCCCCTGTATCTCCATTTCCAGTGGATTTGATGCCCTCTTCTGGCCTCTCTGGGTATGTGTATTCATGTGCACATACCCATATACAGACATACGCACGATTATTCAATAATAAAAACAAATCTTTAAAATCTAAGAATTTTTTTCTTCTGTAAATTTCTATTTGCTTTAGGACTTCAGTTGACTTTGGGTAACAGAAAGCCTAGGTTGTAAGAGCATGGGTAAGGGACAGCGTCAGCTGACCAGAATGTGCAAGATTGTCTCATTCAAGTATCTGGGGATAGAAACTGACATTGAGTACACCTCGATTTCCCTCCACAGGCCTCTTATCCTTCCTGCAGCTATACTGGCTTTCTTTTTTTCTTTTTTTTTTTTTCAAAATTTTATTTATTTTTATTTCATATGCATTGGTGTTTTGCCTGTGTGTATGTCTGTATGAGGTTGTCAGATTCCCCTGGAAATGGAGCTACAGACAGTTATGAACTGCCATGTAGGTACCGGGACTTGAACCTGGGTCCTTTGGAAGAGCAGCCAGTGCTCTTAACTACTGAGCCATCTCGCCAGCAGCAGCACATTCCCCCCCCCTCTTTTTTTTGAGACAGGGTTTCTCTGTGTGGCCCTGTCTGACCTGGAACTCACTCTGTAGACCAGGCTGGCCTTGAACTCAGAGATCTACCTCCTCTGTGTCCCGAGTGCTAGGATTAAAGGCATGTGCCACCATGCCTGGCTAAGATTCAAGCCTCTTTAAGCAGAAATTTCCTGACCTATTTTCTATCCCATTTTCCCATTTCATAGCCTCTTGGCACAAACAAGGTACTCATTAAGCATTAGTTGCAGTGATCAGGCCCTAGCCTCACAGAGTGAAATACTATCGTTCTCGCCAGACAAGCAAGGAGCTCGTTTTGGTATTTCTCTCCAAGGGCCCAAAGTACTGCATGGGTCATAGGGCCTGTGACTTTCCCGGGTTTGTAAAACATCATGAAAGGATGTTGGTTGGTGGGCACAGGCATGTTAGTCTAGTCAGGGCAAACGGTCTTGGAGATAGATAGCTCAGTGGTTAAGAAGAGCACTTGTCTGTCTCTCTTGCAGAGGAGCTGGGTTTGGTTCCCAGAGCTCACATCGTGTGGCTCACAACTGCCTGCAACTCCAGTCTCACAGAACTGGTGCCCTCTTCTAGTCTCTGCATGCTTATGGAGCATATACATCAACTCAGGCACACACACACACACACACACACACACACACACACACACACACACACACATACTTTTTTTTCCCCATCATAACCACATTAATACTTGTGCTCCAGCCAGGTGCAGATCCGCTGAGACCCCAACTCTTTTGTTTACTCACCAATTTTGACCATGAGCCCTAAGCTTGAGGAACTTGCAATCTCGTTGAGGAATGAAAGGATATGTGTGAACCAACTGCAAAGTGCCTACCAAGTATGACATCTTCACCGTCAGCTTGACTGGATTTGGAGTCACCTGGGAGACACACTCCTGTATCTTCACTATTCCAAGAGTAGGTATTTTCCCCAAAGCATGTCTGACAATTGGTTTGCAGCTGAGATGTTTTAACTTGGAGATTTAACCAAAGAGGGGAGACTTACCCTGAATGTGGGTAACAGTATCCCATGATCTTGAGTCCCAGAGTGAATAAAAAGGGAAAAGTGAGGAAGCCAGATGGACACTGGCATTTGTCTCCTTCTACTTCTTGGGTGCAGTGGCCAGCTGCCTCATGTCATACCTCCTTGCTGTCATACCTCCCCACCACGATGGACCTCACCCCTTCTTAGGGCCAAGGAACTCACTTCTCTGTAGTTAGAGTTTTCCTGCCTTGCCCACAGTCAGGACAAATCTCTCTCACCTGCCAGTCCCACAGCCGCTCAGACCCAACCAAGTAAACACAGAGACTTATATTGTTTACAAACTGTATGGCCGTGGTAGGCTTCTTGCTAACTGTTCTTATATCTTAAATTAACCCATTTCTATAAATCTATAGCTTGCCACGTAGCTGGTGGCTTACCGGCGTCTTTACATGCTGCTTGTCCTGGCAGTGGCTGCAGTGTCTCCCTCTTCAGCCTTCCGCTTCCCAGAATTCTCCTCTCTCCTTGTCCCACCTACTTCCTGCCTGGCCACCTACTTCCTGTCTGGTCACTGGCCATCAGTGTTTTATTTATATAGAACGATATCCACAGCACTTCTCCTAACTTGCTTTTGTCAGATATTTTTTCAGAGAAAGGACTGAACACATCAAGCAACTGGCTAACAAATGCTAAAGTCTATACCTCTGACCCGGCCTCAACAAAATACTTTGCTTTGTTTGTTTAAAACACTTTCTCGCTCTGCAGCCCTGGTTCTCTAGTAGGGAGCATGTCTACCAGGCTGCCCTCAATTTTGTGATGATTCCCTCCCCACCCACTCCCCCCCCCCACCCCCGTGTGCATGCTATCTTTTGAGTACTGAGGCTGCAGGCTTGAGCTAGTTGGCTAGTTGGCAGGCCTGAGTCACCATCCACTGCATGCATCAGATCTGGAGTCGGGTTCTGATTGGGTGTGAATGGAGGCAGAGAGGATGTATGGCTTCTGATCTGTGGCTGTGGAAAGCCAAAGGGATGTGGTAGGAATTAACACCCAGTATGTAGGAGAATCAGTGAATCACGGAGGTTGGAGATGAAGTGGATGAGCTGGGCTGAGGAAGTGAGGAAGGCGGTGGATTCTCCTATAAGAATGCAGGTGCAGCTGGAGGATGATCCGGACCTCCCTGGGTGGTTTGTTTCCAGAGACTTCTGTACCTTACAGTGAAGTGCTTTTGCATTCTAAACATGTGAAGGAGTAGTTGGCACGATGGGTATGTTCTAGCTCCCTAGGGATCTCTGAGAGTTTGGGTAGCAGAGGCAGAATGGGTAGCAGGAGATGCTGGGTTGTGGGTTTCCACGTGCCACATGGTTTTGCTCAGTCTCAGCTGTGAATAAAAGTGATAACAAGGTGACTTTTTTTTTTCTTTTTGCAGTTTGGGTTTGGTGCTCCTGTATCTTTACAAAAGGTGGAACATCTTAATGTGAGAAAAAAAGCAAATTCCTCTAGGCAAAACCATTTGGCTTCTGCCCATCTCAGAAGCACCTGTGATGTGATGGAAGCCTTAGAGACCCCCATTTCTCCAAAAACTGTCCTCAGGCTGGACTGAAGCCTGGCAACCTTGGCCCTGCATCCTCCAGTTATGAGATCAGGAAGAACGCTGCTCTGTGCTTCTTCTGGTCTGAGCTGTGAGATGCCAAGACAGGCACAAACATGCCCCAACGCAGGGAAGAGACTGACCCAACCAGACCTAAGGAAATTCCTAACCCGGCGAAGTGGAGAAGCAAGAATGGCCAAGCATGGAAGAGAAGAGTCAGTGCCGCTAGAAAACCCCTCCCTGACCCCGGCGCCGGCCTTGAGCATGTGCCTGGAAGAGGAAGGAGATTCACTCCTCTCTCCTTCTTAGTGCCAACTGGGATGCCAAAGCCTCTATTTCAAAGCTGTCCAAAGCTGCCTGCCTGTTGGGATTCTGGAGTTTGGACCAGCCAGCCTCACCTTCGCTTCAGCACCTGCACAGGGGAACAATGTTGCTATTTAAGCCCAATGTGCTCAAAGCAGACAGAAGTGATCTTGGTCTCCATTCTGACTTGAGTTCCACTGTTCTTTGCATTCTTTCTATGGCTGGAACCTCCCCAAATAATTAAGTTTAACAAATAGAGGAGCACAGGCCCCCTAAAGCCTGAATGCTCTGCATATGTCACTGCTTAAACTGCAGTTTAGGAATGGAAAGATGGCTCAGAGGTTAAGAGCACTGGCTGCTCTTCCAAAGGTCCTGAGTTCAATTCCCAGCACCCACATGATGGCTCACAACCATCTATAACGAGATCTGGTTCCCTCTGCTGGCCTGCAGGCATATATGCAGGCAGAACACTGTATTCATAGTAAATAAATAAATCTTGAAAAAAACAAAACTGCAGTTTAATTGCGTAAACAAATTTGGTTCATTTATGTGGGGCCCAGGAGTAGGTAGGTATTTTTCCCAACGCATATTGGGTGACTGATGTGCGTCCAGGTTAACAATAGCTAGTCAGTCCTCTTGAGCAGGTTAAGAAGTTGAGCTGGGCTGGGCCAGTGGTGGAGCACGCCTTTAATCCCAGCACTTGGGAGGCAGAGCCAGGCAGATCTCTGTGAGTTCGAGGCCAGCTTGGTCTACAGAGTGAGTTCCAGGACAGCCAGGACTCCACAGAGAAACCCTGTCTCGAAAAACAAAAACAACAACAGCAACAACAATGAAGAAGAAGAAGAAGAAGAAGAAGAAGAAGAAGAAGAAGAAGAAGAAGAAGACGTTGTTGAGCTGGAGATGTGGCTCAGCTGTTGGAGTGCTTGTGTTTGTCTAGCATGATCAGGCTGTGGGTTTGAACCCCAGGACCAAATAAACTGGTCATGGTGACCCACATCTGTAATCTCTGATCAAGACCCTGTCTCAGGAAGTAAGGTGGAGAATGATCAGGAAAATTCCCTATGTCACCAAACCTAGCCTCTACATGTGTGTGTGTGAGAGGGTGAGCACACCTTCACATGTACACACAGGCATGCACGCACACACTCACACCTGGGTGTAGTAGTTCACATCTGTAATCCTAGAGCTCAGGAGGCTGAGGATCAGACAGCCAAGGCCAGCCTGGGATACACGTGAGCCGGTCTTAAAAAACAAAACAAAACAAAACAAAACACAAACAAAAACGAAAACAAAACAAAAAACCCCATCACTAACAAAAATATTGCTTCAAGGGGGTGGAGACATGGTTCCAGAGAACCCAGGTTCAATTCCCAGCAGCCCCATAGCTGCTCTCTTTGGTAACTCCAGGTCCGGGTGATCTGATGCCCTCTTCTGGCCTCATTAGGAACTGCATTTACATGGTGTACAGACAAACACAGAGTTAAAATACCTATTTGCATAAAATACGTTTTTTAAAAAGATTGGATCCATATACAACACATTTATCTTTTCAGGCCTCTGATGCTTCCCAATAACCATCGGTAAACCTTGGTTTCCATGGATCAGCTCCTCAGAGTAATCTTTGGGAACTTTTGAGGTGCTACTTAACCTCCGCCCTCACCAGTTACGCCCAGTACAGTACAATGGCAGCCACCCCTGTGACCATGGCTCCCAGAAATCACAGTGGGGTAAGTCTCAATACCCAGACCAGTCTAGCCTCAGCTTGATCCCCAAGGCTGGCTTTGTTGAGAGCCTGGGTGCTGTTCACAAGGTGAATCTTAGAAAGTTTTGTCATGATGGTTTTTGCCTCCAGTTTCCACAGACTCAGAATGCCTCTGTTATGGAGAGGACGGGGCAGTGCCATTGTCTCTGGGCTGTCTCTCTTTCTTTCCCTAGGCCCATCCAGAAACCCTCAGTTTGCTTCGATTCCATCTTCATTCCATATTTGGGTCAGACTGGAAACCTGCGAACTCAGCCTCTGGTGTTAAGTGTTCTCAAATTGTCCCTGACATGCGTGCAACAGCAACCCATATTTATTTTTTCCAAGTTGCCCATTTCTGCCCGGGAGGGCCACCCTTTTTCTGCTGCGTTGGGAGAGGTGGCGACTCCCTCTGGGTTCCGATTACACACCCCATCTTGTCTGAACAAGCATCTTCCCCGAGCTTGCCATGCGGCCCAGGACCCTCATACTTTCTTTACCATGTGGATTACTCACTGCTGGACCCTTTCCAGGCCCGTTGTGTCATCCGCGGAGAACGGAATGGCACACGTTATGGGGTCAATTGCCTGTCATCAGATGGGAAGGTGAGCTGGCGCTGTCATTTCCAACATTACTCTGCACGTCTGGGTGGCTTAGCGTTAGGAAAGATGATCCTGGAAGCCAGACAGGATTTCTGACTTCAAGGACTGTTTGACTTGAGCTCATTTATCTTCCTCTTGCCCAAGCCAGGGCTGGCTGGCAGGTGTCTGCCTCCCACACGGCTCTCTCACATCCTCGGCAGCTTCACGCCACTCTCAGCTACCCTCCCACCCAACCCGGAGTCACGTGACCGCGGAGACTTCACTGTGTGCCTCTCCCCCAGATCACTTAGAACCTTCACAATCCGACTTGGATGCACAGGCTGGAGAATGTCAGTCAAGCCGGCTCTGGCATCAATTTTTTCTTTTTCTTCTGGATACAGAGTTTCACTCTATAGCCCCACCCGACGAGGGACTCATCATACAGCCTCGGTTGTCCTTGAACTCTTGGTGGCTCTCTTACCTAACTCTAAGTGGCTGAGATGACAGGTGTAAGGCCCCCCTGCCTGGCTTCTGGCATAGATATTTAAAAGTATTTTTACTACTTTCAAAAAACTATCCCTTCTGTTAAGACAGTTTTGAAAATATAAATAAATACAAAGAAAATTTAAAACTTGTAATCTTTATGGATTAGCTTATAAAAAATGTCTGCCGTAAATCAAACAGTGAAGGGGAAGATGAACAGGAATCTCATTTACACAACTTAAGTAAAACATAGCTCTCTGAACAGATGAAGATAGGTTTCCTCTGTATCCCAGAATCTAATCAATATTTATATGTATAATTCAGCTATTATTTGGCTTAAAAGGGCTTATTGGGAAATGTTATCATTTTTACTATTTTCTACAGAGAAAATATTTTCCAGTTTCAAATAACCCTGGACTTTTGAATTACCTGTTTTTATGTTAAAAAAAAAAAAAAAAAACTTGTAATCTTATCACCCAGAGAAAACCTCCGCTAACATTTTGGTTTATGTTTGTACAGTCTTTTATTCAGAGTCATAAAACACACATGCTTTATTGCGAACCATAGCCCTTATGATCATCCTGTTCACCAGCAAGGTGGTCCACATTTGCAATCCCAACACTGAGGAGGTGGAAGCTGCAGGCTCAGGAGTTCAAGGCTAGATAGAGCTACATAGAGAGGCACTGTCTCAAAACAAAACAAACAAACAACAAACGAATTTACACAAAATTTGCAATACAGAAACCATTTTACAAGACATCAAACAGCCTTTCAAAATTACTATAAATTGGACTCCAGAGACAGCTGTCAGTGAGGCCTGGGGGCTCCAGCACACAAGTATAATGCTGAGTATATGGGGTACACTTGTCGTTCCCATGCTGTGCTGCGGAACTGGAGAGGGGTGGATCCTGGGACTTGCTATCAGGCCAGCCTAGCCCCAGGCCAGTGAGGGAACTTGTCTTAAAAAACAAAAAAACAAGAGGTGGTCCTCTGGCCTCCACACACATGCCCACACATGCGCACAAGCAACAGAACACACATGTGTAGCTGCACACAGACCTGCACGTACATCACAAAAAAATCATTACAATTGTATATATTTATGGGATGCCGTGGGATAATTTGACATATGCATATACAGTGGGTAATGAAAAAAATCAGGAGAGCTAATATTTTTATCTCCTTAAAACATTTTCAGGGCTGGAGAGGTGGCTCAGTGGGTAAGAGCAAATATTGTTTTTGTAGAGGATGAGTTCGGTTCTGAGCACCTACATGGCAATTCAAAAGTACCCAGAACTTCAGCTCTGGAAGGATCCAATGTCTCTGGCTTCCTTGGGCACCTGCACTCATGTATACTACCCACAGACATACTCATAATTTAAAGTAAATCTTAGAAAAAATTTTAGAAACTTCAACTAACAGAATTACCGTACATATTTAAAAATGACCGTGCCTATTTCAATGCATGTATGCTATATATGATGGCAGGGAACTGTGTCGCTCACATGTACTGTGTACATGTGGTTAGGTTTATTTTTTAACTAGATACAAGTTAGAATCATCTGGGAAGAGGAACCTCAACTGAAAGATGCTTCCTTCAGATTGACTTGTAGGAAATATTAATGATTATATAGGAGGGCTGAGTGTACTGTGGGTGGTGCCATCCTTGGGCAGGTGGTCCTAGGTTGTATAAGAAATTGGGATGGTGTTGGCTGGAGAGATGGCTCCGAGGTTAAGAGTAGTGACTGCTCTTCCAAAGGACCCAGGTTCAATTCCCAGCACCCACATGGGAGCTCGCAACTGTTTGTAACTCCAGTTTCAGGGGACCTGACACCCTCACATAGACATATATGTAGGCAAAACACTAATGTTCATAAAATATAAATGAATGAATGAATGAATGAATGAATAAATAAATAAATAAATCAGGCCGAGAAAGCTATGGAGAATAAGCCAGGAAGCAGCGGTCTTCCATGGTCTCCGCTTCAGCTCTGTCCTCCAGGTTCTTGCCTCAAGCTTCTGCCCTAAAATCCCCCAATGTCAGATGAAATTAACCCTTTCCTTTCCAAGTTTTTTTTAGGTTAGATAAAAATCACAGCCCTGGAGAACTAAACCAGGACATCAGTTGTGTCTTGGGTGTTGTATTCAAGAAGACTTTACTAGACCCAAGGTAGTGAGATGCAAACCCCATTTTCTTCCAAGAAGATTATAGGTTTAGCTCTGACATTTAGGTTGTTGAAATCCTAACTCCCAGTACCTCAGAGTGTGACTGAAGTTGAAGAGAGGACCTTTAAAGGGATGGTTAACCTAAAACGAGGTCATTAGTGGTGGGCTCTATCAAACATGACTAGTGGCCGGGCGGTGGTGGCGCACGCCTTTAATCCCAGCACTCGGGAGGCAGAGGCAGGCGGATCTCTGTGAGTTCGAGGCCAGCCTGGGCTACCAAATGAGTTCCAGGACAGGCGCAAAGCTACACAGAGAAACCCTGTCTCGAAAAAACAAACAAAACATGACTAGTGTCTTCATAAGAGGAGACTGGGACACGGACACACAGAAGGGAAATCATCATGTGGTGATGGCCACCTACAGCCAGGGAGG